CTACTAATGCATATACTCTCAGTGCTAATCTCATCATTAGCTTTGCATTTTCATTAATCAGAGCCCTCTTTCTTTATGCACATTCTAAACTTGAAAGTTAAATAGATGGACCCTCTTAATTCTTTTGATCAATTAGAGTTGTAGTAAAGTTGTTGGCGAGAATCCACTCTACCATGCTTTATTATAAATCAGCTCTCTAAATCATCATAGCAAATCCCATTCATCTTGATTATGGAGAAGTTTGTTAAAGCTTTTCTTTTAGTTGACACAGATCAGATCCTTATTATATATATATATATATATATTTTTGGTGATAGTGGATATGATGAGAGAATATTGCTTGAAGCACTCGAATATATTGACGTCCTTGAATTCCTCCGGTTACTTATACTATATCTAAATTACACTTAATTTATAATGGGAATACACATACTTACATTTACTGGTCCATTTGTATTTCAATATTTTCTCAAATCAATTTTACTTTTGTAAAAAATTAACACTTGAAACCTCTCATTAAGAGCACTCGTTAACCAACACTTTAAACAATATAGAAATTTTTTTGTCATAATGAATGACTAATAAACACTCGTCAACACATCTAAATTATACCTAAATTCACATCTATTCCATCTCTATATTTAGATAGTTTCCCAAATTGACTACCCTCTCGCAAAAAATAAACACTCTTAACGGGTGCTCAATAATATAATCCCCTAGTTCTGGTGTGCAGACTAATTTTCTAAAAATGTATAGAGCCTTACCTCAAGGATACACAGCGAGGCAACCAGTCGGACTACTCGCGGGGCTGGTCTTATTACTTTTTTTTTTTTTTTTTTTTGCCAAACACGGTAACAGAGGCTGGTCTTGCTACATACTATTGACTAATTTGCTCCCCCCCAAGCCCCTCTGATGGCTGACCATTTTGTTGGGCCCTAGCTTCCAACAATTAATTGGGCTACTGAGCTTCTCCACATCCCTCAGATAACCAATGTATGGTTTCCTCGAAGCGGCCTGTAGAGTTAATCTACTGGACCCATCAGCCACTGAACTGGAAAATATCAGAACAATTATCACTTATTTTTTTTTTTGAAAAAAATTAGGTAATTGCCATGACGATTGCCACTTTAATTCGTGGGGAAGGAGGGAAAACAAAATGGAGAAATAAATCACAAACAACCACATTCCCTTCTACCCTCCTCTTCAGTCTTTATAGTAACCACACTATTTTGACCAAGAAAGTGTTTCGTCGTGAGAAAATAGAAAAAAAGTACAGAAGAAAGAAGAAGGAAAATTGGACAAATGAACACAAGCATACCCTACATCTTTCACTACCAATTTAATGCCATCGTCCAACGTCCAACATACATCCTCAATAACGTGTACTTGGGAAATAATGCAGTTGGAGAGATGGAAAAATTTATTTAAAAAAAAAATTAGAGAAGAATAAGAAAATGGACCTTCTAAGTGAAAATGTGTTACATGCAACACCATTATTGGTCAAAAGCACATTCTATACTTTTGTGCTCTTAATGGAAATGGTCTTTGATTACTACATACTTTCCAAAGCACTTTCAATACCATTGACTGGATTCTTTTTTTTTTTTCTTCACATTTATTTTCTTCCACTCTTCTATTCTATCCATAAAAAAAAAAATGCAGCATAGTGCGAATGCAAGTCATGTTTGTATGCTAGTGTATATAGCCAGTATACAACCACCAATAACATTAATTGTTGGACCAGGAAATACTGCAAACCAAAAAAAAAAAAAAAAAAGGAAGAAGAAGAAGAAAGAATTTGCACTGTGCATGTGACTTGACTTTGATCCCTCGAGTTTCCTTTGAGAAATCTGCCGTAATCTTGGACGATCGATAACCGTCGTAAGTGGGGTGAAGACTGAAAGAAATCACTAAGAAAACAAGAAGCCATGCAATTCCAAAAAATGGGACAGATTCTAGATATTGCTTGTCACGTAGACTGTCTTGTAATATAATATCCATGGGTAATGGAAAAGACGCCTAGTTTCAATGCACTTTTTTTCCCTTTCAACGTGACTGCTCTATTCTATCCATTTGTACTGGAAAATACACAGTTTCAAGGTACTTTTTGCCCTTTAATTTGACTCATATCAGTACTTCATTTCTCATGGTTTTCTGTTTTAACTCTATTTTTTTTTTGTAATGGAGAAAAGGGTGGAATTTAAGAAATTGAGAGGGAGAAAAATGAGGGATTTGAACTTAGAACGTCTAAAAATCTTGAGGTTTTATTCACCATACCAAGGACTCATCAACCATTTCTCATGTTAAGAGGCTTGTTTGCGAATGGCATCATTACTATGGACAGAATAGATGAGAATTCAAAAGCCTCAGGCAATATAAATAAAACCTATTATCGTTTTCATAGCTGTACAAACGCATTAAAATGAGATGGGGCTGCACTTTTTGAAGAAAAAAATTGAAGTGGAGTAACATGAGTGCATTGTTGAAATTTTGAAGTTCAAACAATTTAATTGACTCTGGCATAAAAGTGCATTTGGTAACATTGAAGTCGTCTGAAAGTACATTTTGCCCCATGTTTAATGTCTTCTTTTTTACCGAAACGGTCAAGACTTTTGCTTATTAACCTGATCCCAGAAGACACCTCAAAAGCCGGCAACTCTTGAGGAGCTCCCAGGGATTAATAAACCCAAACCCAAACCCCCCCAGGAACCGATGTGGGATGGAAACCCCACAGGGGCAAGCCAGTAGAGCCGCCCGACTATGCAGTTCCTCTAGACCCCAGTATAACTCCCCTGCGTGTCCCCATCGTTTGTCTTTTTTACCGAAACGGTCAAGACTTTTGCTTATTAACCTGATCCCAGAAGACACCCCATCCTTTAATGTCTTCCAACTGCTATTATTGGTCAGTTTTTCCACTAGATTAGATTAGCTATAATTATATCTCGCACATCAGATAAAAATAATTAAAAGAACAATGATGTCTGTATCGGGACTATCTTTGATCAACCATACGTACTGCATGATATTTCGATAGTGGAGAACAAAGTACTATTTCCTCGTCCCGCTTTAACAGTCTAATTTTTTTTTTCATATCTTCTAAATTATAGTTGACTTTTCAATCGAGAAATATAGTTAATTTATAATTTCTTTAAAATATCCTTATTTAATGTATTTTGTTACCAGGGAGCATAACCCATCTTATTTAATACGATTAAATTTTTCATCAATAATTATTTTGATTCATGACTTGAACGGTACAACTTTCCATCAATATTATTGTTGTAAATAATGTAAAGTTATAATAATTAGTCATACACCAGTTTTAACATAAGAGTATTTTAGAATAATAGCATGTCACATCTATTTTTTTAATAAAGTTAAATAATTTTTTGAAATAATGTGAAAAAAAAAATCAAGACTATCGAAATGAGACAGAAAGAGTATTAGTATAGACCTCGTGAAGTAAGTCGAAGATGCCAAACATCAAATTCAACGTTAATCTGTTAATATTTCTTTCCAAAAACGCATGTGTGTTAGTTGATATGGACTTGTATCAGCACTCGTGTTAATGGAGTTTAATCCTCGCGTGGTTGGTAACTTTAGCTTTTTCAATTTATTGAAAATGAATGACTTCCTGATATTTGTGTTTCCAAAACGTGGAAAACATTAAACTTATTAGGATTTTGTTTTCAGAAAAAAGAAAAAAAAAATTATGCAGTGGAACGCTATTGATTTTATAATATGATCCATACTTAAGCTTTGTGCTGTTGGACTAGCTTGGTCGTATTTTATGAGTCTTCTTCTTGAGGGGCAGAAAAGAAAGACTAATATTTTCCTACCCAAAATTTAGCTGTTTATTCTCGCTGGTCATTGGTCATCTTTCAACTTGTTCCGACCCATTACCTTCCTAAGAATGATAAAAGTCGTTACGCCATTAAGAATGGTTTTAAGCAGATGAATACGCATGCCGTTCTTTTTGGGTCAAGACTCTAATAATTTACAAGTTCCAATTTGGATTGAACACTAGCACCAGTACTTGCAGAAAACTGAGGTTCAAGAAGAAATTTGAAGAACAAAAAATGTAATCTACTTTTGTTGCTGAGTTTTCTTGAACATTTTCTTCAACTTCGTGGACGTGGTTTATCTTCTCTATTGAACTATGAGACTTAAGATTTTGCATATATAGATGCCTTTTTTTTTGTGCCTTTGAAGTAGAAAAAGCAAAAGAAAAAAAGAAGTAGATACATCAGCTTATGGCTCCCCTGTGATTATCCAGTTGGGGTGAAAGCTAGTACTAATAACATAATAGAAACCCTACAAGTTCTCTCTCTCATTTTTTTCTCTTTTTTGGATCGAAGAGACCTTGATCTAGTAGTTAGGGTTGATACCCCAGGAATTTAAGATCTTCTATTCAACTCCCTTTTTTTCCCTTCCTGCTTCTTAAATCCCACCTCTCTTATTCTTAAGAAAAAGAGAGAAAGAAAAGTTGTTTCTTCTTTTTGGATGAGAAGAGAATTACCAATTCAAGGAAGCAAGCTATCTTTGAGACTACTAGTACTTCATTAAATATGATGTTACAGCGTAAATCCATATCCTAAATGCACTAGTCAGTCCACTAAATGTTTCCCATCAAAGTGTCTCGGAGGATAGTCATATGGTCCAGACTTGTTTACTCAAACACAGCTCGCGAAACAAAACAATTATGTGACCCAGTACAGACAATAGACCAAGTCCACCAATATGGTTATAAATTAACAGGAACAAATTTTTTTAGGTATTTTTTGGCAAGGGTTGACGGAAGTGTGTGTTAAAAAGTCATACACCATTAAAGATGGTGGTGTGTTTTGGACGAGGGCTGTGCCGCATATACCCCAGTAGCATAAATTTGAAGACTCTCAAAATGTAAGAGCATAAAATGGTAATAATTTCATGCACGTAAGCATTCGATTCTCCATTGTAAAGCTTTTAGCTAATATGTCCGGCATGATCAAATTGTGTTAATTGGAGATGGTTGTGTTCTCCACTTTCGACCTTTGACTGATTTGATTCATGGTACAAAATCCCGGAACCTATCAGTATTAATGGAGCCTCTGATTCTCAGCTCTTCCACGGAATCTTGATTCTTCCACATATGAATAAAAATTGGGTTCCACCACCAATTACAGCTCTGCCCAAGAAAGTGCATGGATAATATCTAAGTGCCGGCCAGAGGAGAGGTGGCAGGGGAGTGAGCACTATATATTGACATGTCAGTCATGCCGATTCAATTCAAAACCAAATTCATTCCATTTCATAACTCCAATTGCAAATACTTTTCTCCTAGATTTTTTTTTTGTTCTTTTCGAAGCATCAAGAGGAATTTTAATGAATTCAAGAAATTTAACAGCTGACATTTTGAAATCTATTCTTGTCCTTTACCTTACTATGATCCTCTCAGCTGTTATTGCTTTTGTTCCATTCTTTGGATGAATTTCTCTTCTGTGTATTCAAAGTCCATTTTGTTTGTCAAGTGACAGTCAATTTACTTGGTAATTGTGAAATATTATGCTTCATCTTCCTGGGATTTGACAAAATGTCAGCAATGACTCGAGCGAAGTTGGGCTGCAGAATCTTTTCTGTACATCTTCCACCCAATCTTGGTGGATACAATATAAAGATACGGGATTCTTGTCTTCTATCAGTCCACTGCTCAAGGGGCTTCAAAGGAGTCCATACCAGCGTTAAGAGCATAACTTGTCTCATTCCGTCTCAATCAACAGCCAAAAATTGGAAAGAAAATTCAGCAGTTGCAACTGACGATAGAGTCGTTATGGACATTGTTCAGGATCTGCCCTGCTTCACTATTGATCAGTCAAGCCTGATGCACATTGTTGAGATGAGAAGCCTTGATCAGCTCCATAAATTTGGAGGCGTTCATGGGATTGCTAATTCTCTTAATAGTGATGTGCATCGTGGAATAGATAGTGATGACAATGCAGGTATTTCACGTAGGCATGAAGCCTTTGGTACTAACACATATAGCAAGGCTGCTGGAAAGAATTTGTTCCATCTTGTTTGGGAAGCTTTTGATGATTCGAAACTCAATATTTTCCTGGCTTTTGCTATGATGGCTCTTGGTTTTGACATTAAGAGCAATGGACTAATGGAAGGGCTGTATGATGGTGGAAGCATATTTTCTGCTGTTCTTGTTGTCCTATCCATCGTGGCCAGTACTGATTTCAGGAAAAACAGAAACTTCAGCGAGAACTTCATGGTTAGTGACAGTAGTCCTGTTGAAGTCATGAGAAATGGCAAGCCGAAGCATATTTCAACATCAGAAGTTGCTGTTGGAGATGTTATATGCTTGAAGATTGGGGACCAAGTACCTGCTGATGGACTGCTCATTGAAGGGCAAGCTTTACGTGTTGATGAATCCAGCATGACTACGACTGGAAGTTTTCATGATCATGAAATTCAGCATCATGACCAGAATCCCTTCCTGTTTTCTGGCACCAAGGTGACTGTCGGATGCGCTCGAATGCTTGTTACATCTGTTGGGATGAATACAACTCGAGGAAAGATGCTAAGTTCAATGAGCAGTGAGTCAATTGAGCATACGCCTTTGAAAGCTCGAATCAGCAGGCTAATATCATCAATAGGTGAAGTTGGTTCAGGAGCTGCAGTCGTAGCTTTTGTTCTGAACTTAATCCAGACAAAAAGAAATTATAATCTCGAGAGAAGAAAGAAGAAGCTCAAAGAACTTGCCATGGTCTTCACTGCATCCTCATCTGTTGTTTCCTCTATCTCCAGGAATGTTTTTGGCGTTGGAAAGTACATATCCAAGCTGCTAAAAGTTGAACAGCAGACTAGCATCGGTAATGCTTTACTTGGCTTTGCTCGTCCTCCAAAGCCACTCTTAATTGGCATACCATCAGAAGCTGGAGTTTTCCCAGTGCTGTTGTTCATTCATGGCTATCTTCTCTACAACTCTTTCTATTCTCAGCTTGTGCAACATATAGCTTCTCATGGCTTTATCGTCATTGCTCCACAGGTCTACATCTTTTACTCTGAAATTTTTGGTGCTATAGTTGATACCACAAACTAATGCATCTCACTTGTCAGTTGTCACCTCCTCCTCCAAACCCCCCCCCCCCCCCCCAACACGAAACAACTGATCACATTCATATATTTCTGTGTTGACTTTTAATGCACGATTATCACAATTGCAAAATCATTTTTACCACATTTTGGATATTGGGATTCCTCGAGGACCCAAGATTGTCAGCCTTAATGACCTACATATGAGAATGGACAACAATAGCTTTATTGTTACAATCGGAATGTGATTATCATCTGGGCTTGGTTTAGCCTACTGCTGGTTCCATCTTTGAGTTTCTTTCAGGCAAAATTTTGGGAAACATTTCATAGAACAATTGAAAAACTGCATTTTTCTATAACAATTGAAAGTTGATCTTTCATCCCTTGGCTCACAAATATATTCCAATTGCGTTACATCAGTTATACAGCATGGCAGGACCAGATACAACAGAAGAAATTAATGCCACAGCTGAAATAGCCAATTGGTTATCAGAGGGACTACAGAATTTGCTACCACCCAAGGTTCAGGCAAACTTAAGTAAGCTAGCACTTGCAGGGCATAGCCGCGGAGGAAAAGTAGCTTTTGGGGTAGCTCTAGGAAAAGCGGTGACTTCACTGAAGTTTTCAGCATTAATAGGCATAGATCCTGTGGATGGAGTGGAGAAAGGGAAACAAATGCCACCAATTCTCACCTACAATCCTCATTCCTTTAATCTTGACATGGCAGTATCAATCATTGGATCAGGATTGGGCGAATTAAGAAGCAATTTTCTTTTCCCTCCTTCGGCTCCTAAAGGAGTGAATCACAAGGACTTCTACAATGAATGTCAAAAACCAGCGTGTTACTTTGTGGCCAGAGATTATGGCCACCTTGATATGCTAGATGATGACACTTCAGGGCTTCGAGGCAAGGCCACGTATTGTTTGTGCAAAAATGGGGAGTCCAGAGACCCCATGAGAAGATTTGTTGGAGGAATCATGGTTGCTTTCATGAGAAATTACTTGGAAGGTAACTCCAGGGATTTGCAGGCTATAAGGGATGGGCATTTAACAGCACCTGTAGAGCTGCAAAATGTTGATTTTCTTGTATAAAAGTGATTGAAATCCTCTTACAATTGTTAGATGCAGATCTCTGCCAGCTTAAATCTGCGCATAGACAAGCATCTGGTGCTAGATTGTTCCATGTTTCATCATGTCGGGTAGATTGTTTGAAGTTAAAATGAAAATATCATGTTTCAATAGGATTTTTCTCTAGTTTCGTAGGAAAACAACAGAAAAATCATAGAAAACACAAGACAGAAAATAATAATATTCAAAATCATAGTTCTATCATATAGTTTAACAGATACAACTGGATAAGCAGAGTCTTGCATTTGATCTTTCCAACTTAATGCAGGCCCTTAATAGGCTCAGAATTAACGAGTCATCGTGCTGATGAATTGCCCTGTTGTCGGTGCATCTTAGGTAGGCCAATCCCCGGTCAGCTACGCTACCTCTGCAACAAAAGTTTACGTACTTTTTCTTGTTCTTTTTTTAGCAAAGAATGAAAACTTTCATTGATCGCAGCACATGGACAGTCGCCCCCTCAACATGCTACAACTTCACGTACTTCAATTGGGTGCAAGACTCGAATCCTTGATGCAAACATCATCAACTCTGCAGCCTCCAAAACTAAAATTTATAAGAGCACTAAACAACAATTGACCCTTCCTCCTACATTTCTTCTCCTCAATTATAGGTCGTCATGGTAATTTATTTCTACAAAATCGAAAGTTCTTTAAGAATAATGTGGTTTTTTTTTTTTATATATATTTCTATTCAATTATTATTTCCAGTACATAGTATACTCTCATTTTATGAGATGTAATTCAATATCATAATTACTTTTTTTTTCTCTTTTTTATTTCAAGGGATCAATAGTGATTCTTACTTTTTTTAATGAGTCGAACACATGACTTACTCGTTGCAGATGAAGTATCTTACTACTACCAAAGATGTATTTCGCGTCCTTGTTTGGAAAGGCATTTTTTTTCTCAAAAAATTTTTACGTTTTTCGTAATCACATTTTAATCATTTTACCTCACATACGTCAAATCGCCACATTATATTTTTTTATAAAAACTTCAAAAAATAGCATTCCAAACAAACGCTGTACCAAGTGATGAACCACTATAGTTTTTTTCAAGCACATTGGGAATTTTCTCGAATTCGCTAAAACATCCCAGTTATCTCCTCTCTTATTCTTAGGGCGTGACTTCCAATTCGCATTTCAGACTTTGCGACTGTCAAAATCAATAAAAGGTGTATCCGGAATTAACGGTGCAAGACTACTGCAATTCTTCTGCGAAAACGAACTTGTTGAATGCGGTTTGTCTTATCCGTTTTGGAATTTTAATAGCAAATCCGTTTTGGAAGTTGTGCTTGTATAATAGAATTTCTTTCTCAAGAGTCATGATATTGCTGAGGAATGATAACGGGGTTCATATACCCTTTCTATAGATTTCGAAGGTTTATGTTTAGATTGAACGATTTGACGAAAGATTTAAAATCTTATCAAATCATTCTAGTTGTTTAGATTATTTGAAAGGTATTTGAATTTGTAATTACTGATTATTTTAGTATTTAAAATGTATTTTGATAATTGATGAATTTACAAACTTAAATATTGTTTGAACTATATAAACTATTGAAGCGATTTGGGTGAATTTCAAATTTTTCATCAAATTCCTTGATCCAAACGAAACTATACTACGTACTCCCTCCGTCCCGTTTTGTTAGTCTTGTTTTCCTTTTTCGTCTGTCCCAAATTGTAGTCCACTTTCCCATTAAAGAATGTAGTAATCTTTCAAATTGTCTAAAATACCCTTATTAAATATCTTGTTATTAATACATTGTTATTAGATACTAACCCACTACATTGAATACATTGAGCTTTTCCAATACATAGATAAATGAGAAGTCTATCTTTGTTATTTATTGGCACTATTGGCGGTAATTGAAACAATCAGGGTGCACTATTGGCGGTAACTGATATTTATTGGTACCATTAGCTGATATTAATTGGCACTCTTCATGATTAGCATAAGGGTATTTTAGGAAATTATTAATCTAAATTTATGTTTCCAACCAAATTAATTACACTTTCTTAATCTGTGTGAAAAAAAAACCAAGACTAACAAAACGGGACGGAGGGAGTAGTATTTATCATACATATTGCTAGTTTCTAATCTATCAGATTCATGTTTGTTTGGATTGGGTTTTATTTCCCCAAATTTATTTGCTTACATCATCATTACAATTTTCAATACACCTTTTTACCTTCCCAATTACCTTTTTATCTCACATACATCACATCACAAAAAGTGCTACAGTAAAAATATCTCTAATAATTCACAATCCAAACAGACATTTTAAAATTGTGAAATTTCCGCCAAACAGCTCCCATTTTCCAACGCCTTTGCAATTTTCTCCTCTCTAACGTTTATCTTCAAATTCACATTCAGACTTTGCAACTGTCAAAGTCCATAAGCAGCATATCTGGAAATTAACACTACGAGACAAGAGTATAGCAAAATATCAGAAACGAACTTGTTGACAGCGGTCTTTCTACTCTTGTCCGTTTTTGGAATTAATTCCATAGCAAGATTCTTCATGCAAATCCATGGAATAGAATTAGATCCCTTTAAGTCTGCCTTTCTCCCGAGTCGTGGCATTCCTGAGAAGTTAAGCCAAAGCAACTCATCGAGTCAGTAGTCAACTGAAAATGATTCGACATGAAATTTTTTCTCGGAAGAGACTCAATCAGCCTTTGCGGCGTAATTGTGTGGAGAAACCAGAGTTATGGATGCTTTACTTTTAATGCAAATTAAAAATTATCTGAGTCAAATTATAATGCTTCTTTATCACGCTTGCAAATTGATTTGGAAAAAAAATCATCTGGATGATTTGGTTCAAAAGTCCGTCCGATCAAGTCGATTGTATAGGTAATGTTTAATCAACATCTAGTAGTGATTTATTGCTTTCTTATTTGCCGACACGCCAGCGACGCGCTAGAGTCGGCAAGGCTCTTAGCTTCTTCGTTCTCAGTTGCTTGGCATTTATTAGTCAGTTCAGCTGTCACAAGACTTGCTCAACGTGATTGGTTGAGTGACTGAATAACTGCACAATACTTAGCCTCAAAGACACAACAGATATTTGTATTACGTTTGCAATTCAAGTTTCAAACGTAGTCCTACAATTTGCTGTGCATTGACATTTTCCCCTCACTCTGCAACTGTCTCGCGACATAGCACTAGTAAGTTATAATGGAATCTAAAGATGACTCACCATTTCTACGATTCTCCCCCTCTCTCTCTCTCTCTCTCTCTCTCTCGCTCTCTCTCTCTCTCTCTCTTTTAAATAGCTAGTTTACACTGTGATGCATTTACCCAAAAGGACCAAAAAAAAAAAAAAATGAAAAAAGTCTATACCGTGCATGTGACTTGGGTTCTTTTAATTAACAGTGACGGAGTTAGGATTTTTTTTTCTCAATGGGGTCAAAATTTTTTCTAATAAAATTATTTTAATATGCTATATTCAAAAAAAATTTTATCACAAACCACCCAAGTTACACATTATGAGAAGATACTCCAATATGTCGCTTATGCCAAAAAAAAAAAAACTATGCAATATAAATATAACTATTTTTAATTAAAAAATAAAAGTTATGTTAACATATACTAAAATTTCAACCTCTTTTCTTAAAAATAAATTGAGATTTACATTCTTTTCTATGTATACAATTAGACAATTATTCAAGAAACTATCTTCCATCTTGTTTCAGAATTGTCTTGATTATCTTCATAATTGAAAATGCCCATTCTGTAGATGCAAATGATACAGGAAGAGTGCGAATGAGTCTAATCAATTGGACTAAATTGTATATTTGTATATGAGCCAATAAAGTAATTACTTTTGTTTTAGCCCATTGATAATTATGAATTGGGTCTTTTATTATAATATATCAAATTGATTTAATTTACTATGGATTATCGATTACATGTTTACTTTTTTGAAAGTTAAATAATTATGACAATGAAAAAGTAAATAATTTTTTAAACAAAATATTAATTCAAAGATGGCTATTTCATATATATATATATATAAACTCTCGTAATATAAACTAAAATTATGAAAAATTAGGAAGGAGGGACAACTTTGTTTTACATGCATATTTACACACTATGAACTAAAATTTTCAAAATTCAGGCGCCCCATGGCTCCATCATTGCTTCTTAGGATTCGGATCAATCGAGAAATTCCCAAGGAAATTACATGAATGGGAAGGTTGCTTGATACCCGGAACCCTATGATTAGCCCGTTTTTCTTTGGCAGATTGTTCAACTTCTAAAGCAGGTGGTCGACAAAAAAGTGGAAATTATGAAAACTTCGCTCCCTCTCTTTAAGACATTAGCGCGGCCAGACCGCGTAGACGGCACCGTTGACAAAGTCAAAATACTTTTGTACTAAGGAACGATCAACTTAATTTACTAGTAGCATTCCTTTCAGTCATAAAGACAGATTCACCTTTCTTTTTCTAATAATTGTCCCAAATTGCAGACTTATTTCCCTTTCAAAAGGTAGTAGTTAGTTTATCAATGCTATTTGATGAACCAAAACTAGTATTAATGGGAAGGCATATGAGTAAAGTACTAAGCAGAAATGATCGCATTAACTACATTAACTTACATTTTTAAATAGCGTCCATTTACAAAAAAGGAAATCACTACATTTTAAAACTATAGGTACAAAAATGAAATTTTTAAAATTAAAAAGGCGGACCATTTTTTAATTTATTTCTGTCGCCAAGTTTGTATTATCGCTTAATATAAAATTTTTCTTTTAAATATGCGTCAAAGTGGAAGTGTATTTTCATGGGACGGAGGAGGAAGTAGTAATTATAAGTAAGTCTTGCCCTTCAAGTTCAAAGTCTTTCGTCTATATTATTCTTGGAAGTTGGAACTCATAAAAATCTTCAATTCCCGGAGCTCGAGCATGAACTACCAAGAAAAAAAGCATTAGTAAGAACAGTTTTACCGCATTAACTACCAGTAAAGCACAGTTTTATTTTAATCCGACGTAAATTCACACTTCACAGTACTTTGAGCTGTAGCAGACTGCAATTTGTATAACCCGCGTACGAGTCGTTTAAGAAGAATAAATCGGCGCTGGAATCCTATATAAAGGCAGGCACCTGAATTGGAAATGCAGCATCATTGGTTGCTCATTTTGCTCTGGTAGGAACTTAGAAGTTGGAACTACAGCACAAGGAACTTGTCTTTTCTGTAGGCAAGACATATTATACGTACATTGGCACTACGCAAGAGAAGAAAGCGTGGAAGTTTATATTATTGTGAGTCTTCCATTTCTTAGCTTTTGTTCTTATCTATATGTATTTTGGTTACTTTTTATTTGTTCCTTCTTTTGGTTTGTTTCTAATGGTACATAATAATATAAGTTGCAAGCCTGCATGCCTTCCATTACTTATAACCCAAACTAAAGCTAGCATTCCATACTTGCATCAGCTTCCTATCAATTTTAGTTTAGTGTACATATATACTCTATAGAAAAAAAAAATGAAATAAAGATAAGTACTAAATTTTGTTCTTAGATTTACTTAGAAAGCTTATCCACTTTGACCCGTCAAATAGCTCG